CCCTCGCTAGAGAAACAGGAGTGGTATGGATCTGCTGTTCCCAGAAATTTGGGGAATCACCAAATCTTTGCACAGTTTTGAGAATGCCAGAAAATGGTTCCCACCAGGATCTCTGTTCATGCTTTGATTGCTCAAGTGTTAGATTAAAAGGATTTGAAAACAATATTAATAGTTTGGAGGGTTTGTGTGAAGGTGGCAAAGGAAGTGCTTATGGCTGTTGCCATCTTGATGTTCCTCCCAGAAAATGCACATGGTTGGGAACAGGAGGATTTTTGCAAAAGCCAAATACAGAAAGAAAAACAAGGCAGCTTAGCCAAAGGGATTGCCCTTATTGAAAATAACTTCCACGTTGCAAAGCATTGTGTTATTTCTAAGGTTTGTGTTCAAAGCAGAGGGCTGGGCATCTTGATTTGTGTGACATGTTCCTGTTCCACCTCTGACTTAGGGTGTGTCTTCATGTGAGTAATTATGCTGCTTACACCTCAGTTTCCCTTCCTGTTGAGTGGAAAGAAAATAGCTAAAGTAATTTTGGGTTTGAGAAGCTTAAAGCATTACTTTTGGAAAGCTCTTAGAAAATTTCCCTGATGGAAGTTGCTAGTTTAATGTAAGTGATGGTGATGTTGATAAAAAACAGATCACATCTGTTATACTTGATGAAAATAGTACAGCAGCATTTCAGATGTAAATATTAATTGATTTCTGCACTGCAGATTTCTTCTTGGATATTTAAATTATTGCTAAGGAGGAGGGAAAGGCTATCAGGGAGATTAACAAATCCATTATTAAGGCTGGAAATGGAGGGTTGCCGAAGTGCCATTTAATAAAATGTAAAAAGCCCCTTTCTAAAGGGCGAAGCAGCAGAACACACAATGAAAGTGAATCACAGCTGCCAGAAGGGATGCCAGCAGCAAGCACTTATAATCAGAAAACTGTACTTACAGATCATTCAGAGCCACTAAATTAAATGATCTCATTCTCCCCTAAAATACTCTTCCCTTAGCCCCTCCCCAGTGTTGCCTGTGGATTGCTCAACCACATTTAAAATCTGACTTTGGGGGCTTTTTGGTCAGCAGTTGAATGGTATTGGGCCTCTTCGTGCTATTTACTTTCCACCCACTTTTGTTTCTGTCACACTCTGGCATTTTGCAGGCTGACCTGCCCACACGAGCACTTGGGATGGCGACAGCAAGATTTTACAGATCTGCTGTGGCTCCATAGTTGACTTGCCTCTTCTTAGGGCTCCTTCTTTGGGAAAATGTCCCACAGTTTATTCCCAAATTTGTCTTTGTTTCACACAGATTATTTTTTTTTATAATTGTACATTGTTTACTTCAGAAACAAAGACTTGGAAGCTGAGCTGAAGTGTAAACGCAAGAGCTTATCCTACATAATTTCACACAGAACTGATCCTGCTGTTACTTCACTCCAGGCTGATTTAATTCACCATGTGTATCAGGATCCCTCTCCTTCATCCTCTCTTGTTTTGTATCTTGAACTTTACCTTCATGAGGCTGACACTCTGATATGCTCTTAACCTCTCCCTTTATTTTCCAGCCATGGCTTTCCATATTTAATCCCTAGAGTGGCACCACATATCTCCCAATGTGCCATCAGAAAAACTAATGGCAGTGGATACTCACAAAGGCCTGTTTTACAGTGATTTTGGGGCTTCATCATGAGTTTGGGGGGTTGGAGTTGCAGGGTTTGGGTTTTTTCATGTTTAGTGTTGCGAATCCTGAGAAGCAAATGGCTCGCTGGTTTTGGAAGTAGGTTAAAGGAAGCACAGTTAGAGCCCAGAAATGCCTTTGCATTAACCTCACTGTTGTGGCGATGTCTGTGCACCTGTGTCCTTTTCTCTAATCCAAGATCATTTGAGCCTTGAGACTGCTCAAATTTGGAGTTTTCTATGTGCTTTTAACAGTCTCCTCTACGGGCAGTTTCCAGTGTAGAAATACGAGGTGGGGAGAGAGAATACTTAGTTCCCTGAGTTCTCCCCCGGACAAAAGCCAGTCTTTGCACTTGCTCTGGTCTGGCTGGGTGTAGGTGCCTGAGTGGAGACTCTCCTGTCCAAGAAGGGCTGGGACTGGCTTTCCCAGAATGAGGGAGGGATGTCCCTGGAGTGTCCCAGCTTCCTTTATTTTTCAGCTATCCCACCTTAAGAGAAACAAAACAAATCAACCCCTAGAGATTTGGAGATGAAAAGGTCTATGTAAGAACTGAATAGTGGTATTATTTTTACCTCCATCAGCTGCAAGCCTGCAGTTTTCTGAGGAAACCTCAGAAATGGTGAATCAGCAAATTGTGTGTAGAGAAAAGTTAGCTATCCCAAATCCACTTTTTTCAGCTCTTCTCTAGTTGAGTGCTGCAGACTCTTGCAACTCCATCAGAGTCTCCTGATACTTTGTGCTCTGCCTAAAGCCCCTGCTACCAGACATAAGCCTTTGATTGAGAATCTCTGCTTTTTTAGGATTTTTTTCAAGGTACTTTTCTGTCTCCCATTGTGATGGTGGAATGTTTGCAAATGTAACCAGTCATGGCCTAAACGTTCAGAAAATAACCCCAGTCAGAACTACAAAATAGTCTTCAGGGGATTCTAATCAGAACCTATTGGAGATTCAGATATTTACTATGGATGTTCCGATCTTGAATATTTTCTGAGTGCATCCTTTTTGGTATAATACAAAGACTGGTATAATAGAATTCTATGTTATCAGGTTTTTAAAGCTCCATTCCAGCTAATGCTGAAGTTGGTAAAATTCAGGGTGATAGAAGTAATCCAAGGGTTTTGTACCTATTTGAAAATCAGGGTGTAAATACATTATTAAAGTTCTGAAAAGAGTGATCATACTGAAAGCATTTGTTAAAATGTTGAGATGGTCGTTGTTGTGCCTTGTTAATATGGTGCTACTTCAAGTATAGTGAGTTTGCTATCTGTGGTATCTCTTGTCTATGCTCTTAAATAATCTGTGCACACTGGAAAATGGGCCTTGCTCCTTAGCCTCCCATGAAAAACAATGTATGAGTCACTCCAGGTCAGAATTCCTTGCACTTTTTTGTAGTTCCATCTCCACAGGTGAGATGCAGAAAGTTTCCACACTGTGGCCGTGGCTTTGTCTTTTGTAGCCTTTCTGCTTTATTCTCATCACAGCCCTTCCAGTTCCACGTGGGTGGGCATGGAGCCCTCACCTGGAGTGCTGTGTCCAGTTCTGGGCTTCTCATTTCAAGAGAGACATGGGGCTCCTTGGGCAGTGCAGTGGAGGCTACAGAGTTTATCAGGGGACTGGAGTATCTCAAGAGGAAAGGTTGAGCGAGCTGGGCCTGTTCAGTCCCAAGAAGAGATGACTGAGAGGGGATCTTAACAATGTCTGTCTGTTTGAAGGGAGGTGTCAGAGGCTGGAACAGGTTCTTTTTGGTGGTGCCCAGCAATGGGACAAGTGGCAATGGGCAGGAACTGATACACAGCAGTCCCACCTGAATATGAGGAACTGTGCAAGTAACTGAGCACTGGCACAGGCTGCCCAGAGAGGTTGCGGAGTCTCTCTCACTGGTGATATTCCAGAGCCATCTGGATGCAATCCTGTGCACTGTGCTCTGGAGTGACCCTGCTTGAGCTGGGAAGTTGACCCACCGCGGTCCCTCCCAGCGTGACCCACTCTGTGATTCTGTGACCTGACCACCAGCACCTCGGGGTGTGGGTGGGCACGGAGCCATCCCCTCAGGCGGGGGGACACGCAGCCATTGCCCGGGAGCTGCCCCCGCCACGCTCGGGCGGTGCTCCCGGGAACTGCATTTCCCAGCCCGCCCCGCTGCGCTCCGCTCCGCCCGCCCGTGAGCGCCGGGCAGAGGTAAACAAAGTGCTGCGAGCGGCGGGCGGGGCGCGGCCGCAGGGGCCGGTCCCGCCGCGGGGCTGCCGGGCCGAGGGGCCGGGGCGGGGAGCCGGGCAGGGCCCGGCGCGGGGCAGCGCTCGGCCGGGCGCTGGGGCAGGGATAAGCGCTCTCCGCTCCCCGGCGGGAGCATCCCGGAGCGGGTTCTTCCTCTGGCATTTCCTCTCGTGTTCCCTTGCCGCCCCTCGCCCTCCCAGGAGAGCCGCCCCCGGGACGGTGTGACGAGGCCCGGGCACTGGGCAGAGACGGCGATCCCCGGCGCCTCCCCGCCGCAGCCGCCCCCGTGTCCAGCGGGGAAGTCGGGAGCGTGGGGGCGGAGGGCGGCCCGGGGCTGCGGAGCCCCCCGGCCATGGAGCAGGTCCAGATGATCAACATCCAGCGGCTGCTGGAGGCGGCCGAGTATCTGGAGCGAAGGGAGAGAGGTAATGGGGGGAGGATGGGTGCCCGCCGTGAGGGGAGCGGGTCGGGGGTCAGATCCCCACCGAGCGCAGAGAGTGACCCCGGAGAAGGGATCAGAGCCAGTGTTTGCAGGGATGGTGGTAAATCCCCAGCAGTGAGGGCTGGATGAAGGATAGGGCTGATGAGTCCTCCTGAAGGTGGTGGGTGAGGTGGAATGTTTTTGCAGAATGGGGGAGATTGACGTGGATGTGGTTTCTGGGAGGAAGAGGGGGTATTGGTGTGAAAGTTTTCCACTGGGCAGGAGGGATGATGATGGGTTGCTCTGCCTCAGCAGAGACGTCAGTGGCACAGTGAAATACATCTGGTTTGCCTGGTTCAGATAGGTTGGGCAGGAGGAGAGAGATATTAGGCACCCTCTGGACTGTCACGGTTTTTTTTTTTATATTTTCAATGTTTGAGTGGTGGTGGCCTTCCTCCAGGGTTGGAAGAGACTTTATACTTCCTCCCTTTTCTCCAAGCCCAGTCCACTTCCCTGTGAATATATCCTCAGTCATTTCCCTGAGCTGTTGTGATTAAGGGCCTCCCCAGCTAGGCCCGTGGGTTAGTGGTGGGGCCTGCCTGCTGACTTCTTTTTTCTCTCCTTTTTGTTTTTTTTTGTTTGTTTGTTGGTGGTTTTTGTTTTTGTTTTTAATGCCTTGACTGTTGATTCTCTTGCAGAGTGTGAACATGGCTATGCCTCGACCTTCCCCTCAGTTCCAAGCCCTGGACTACAAGACCCAAAGCCCACACGGAGGCTGAGCCGGGCACGGAAATACAGCGGCAGTGGCAGCATTGCCAGTATTGCCACCAGGTACGAGGTGGGCAGGGCTGGCTGGGGGTCGAAGCTGCAGAAGAAGGTTAGAGGCAGTGGGGAGAAACTTGCTCTCATGGAAAAATGGGAAGAATCTGAATAGCTAGAGGGATTCAGAGCTGGAGCACACAAGTGCAGTGTCCATTCTGGATCCATAGCACTGGAAGTCGAGGGGACACAGGGGAACTGGATCTGAAGTGGCACTGCCAGCTGACACCAAGCCAAATCTCAGATGCTGCAGAGGGAAGGGGAATAGGGAGATCTGTTCATAAGATTTAGGGAAGAGGTAGGCAATAGCTATTCCCATTATATACAGCTGATGTCTTTCCAACCCAGAAATCACTGCTTTTAAGGGATAGTGCATGTGCAGCCTGGGTGCTTTGGGATTGTAATGACAGGCATGATTTGAAGCAAGGAAATGTTTTGAAATGGATCCCCTACAACAAATGGGAGAGAGGGAGATGACTGACTGTAATGTACAACATGTTAAAAATTCAGTTCAGGAAAACAGAGCTGTGTTTCAGTCTGCCTTTCAGGGCAGTGGGGTTTCCCAGCTTTTGATAGCTTAGTAATTGTAGAACTCCATGTTTTTTATACCTTTCTTATTATACAATGGCATGTTTCTTGTTTTTCTTTTTAAATCTAGAAGAGACAACAGGATTAAGCCTATTGCCTGGTGCTGTGGTTGCATCTGCCTCTTCCCTCTCATTCCTGTTCTTTTTATTTTTGTTTGCTACCTTCTGTAGATTTGTTGAGACCTTCTGAGATAGAGGAACTTTAGAAACATAAAGTATGCCTTTGAAAAGGCATTTGCAAGCTTGCTTTTACTGCAGCAAGGCCTGTGCAATCCATAAAATGGTGGCAGGTGGCTCAGGTGATTAAGACTTTCTTAAGGCCATTGGGAAGGATCTGCAAAGGCCTAAGGGAAAGGTGCCTTTGCAGTGATTCTGCTTTGGCAGCATTTGATAATAAGAGGTTGTTTGAAGTGATGTTAGGAGACCTTGCTGTGGGGAAGTTTTCTTCATCAGGATCAGCGTATCTTGAGGTCTTTGTATGCTCAATGTTTGTATTTGCTTCCTTACTTCATCCAGCCTCTCCTAATTTGAGGGCAGTTGCAGCTCTTTACTGTTAATCATGAGTGCCAAAGCCCCCAGTTCTGTGACTTTGTGTTGGAAAATGATGGCAAATGCTGAATTGAGGTCGGTATTTTTCTCTCTAGGTTTCCCACTTACTATTTTTCCATCCCACACCTCTTTGTCTCAAAGGCCTTTGTCATGGCAACCTGCCCTTCTCCAGAGGAGGGCTGGAAGCACATCCCCCTCAGGAACTCCTTAGCACTGAATCCAGCAGCCTGCAGGCTGGAGAGGGATGCAGAGCACTCCCAGTCCCTGGGGCCAGGGTGCTCAGCAGGCCCTGCCAGCACAGAGCTCCAGGCACAGCTCTCCCGGAGCAGCTCTGGTGCTGCCACCAGCCCGCTGGGCCCTTGAGCCTGACAGGCTGAATATGTTCCTGTGGGGGGAAAGGCAGCAGAGAAGCAGAAAAGGTAATTTCTAATCTTACTTAAACCTTCTTTATACAAGGAATACCGAGGCCAAACTGAATCTTTAGAGTGAGAGCATTGTTACCCAGAGCGTTTCCTCCCGTGGGTGTTCCAGCCTCAGGGAGTGACCAGTGTCAGGTCTGCTCCAGGCAGAGACTAGAGGGGGTCTTTTGGGGAGCTCAGACCTTACATGCACAGTTGGAAATGGAAGTTTCTTTTAGCACAAGTCGTAGCAGCTTGCACTTGCTGTAGGAGATGGCAGGCCTTCCAGATGGCTGAAGTGCTGGGAAGTGACAACTGTGAAGTTTAGGGTGCCTCCAAATTCACTGCAGTGTCTTTTGTGCGATGCTGAGTATAGCATCAGCCTTGTTTAGGGAAGGCTCTGTATCATCTCTTCCTGTCAAAATCAAAGGAGCAATTCAGTAAGTTCTTTCTGGTGGAGTTGGAATGGACTTTGAATTAAATATCAAGTCCTTGATGAAGAACAAAACTTACATTTCATGTGTGGATAAGAGATTTTCTTAGATTGCTTTTGTCTCAAAATGTTTCATTAGTATAGAGGAATTATGCATTTAGATCTCATGCAGATCTTGTAATAAAATAGCCTCCTGTAAAAATATCTCTCAAGCAACCTTGGGAAAGCAACAGTGTTTTCCTTTTTCTTTAATTTTTTATTTATACACTTTTACAAATTGGCACGTGTACATTGTTGATGGTCTTTATTGAACCAAATAATCCATGATTTTGTGATACAGAATATTTATGAAGCCTGGTTGCTTGTTTGATTAATATTTTAATTCCGGGTATTTCCCTTCAGCATTTGGAGCCCAGACATGACAGCTCTTTCCTCCCAACAGGCTCTGTGCTGTCATTGCACAAACACCCAGAAAGTTCTGAGGAGCAGACAGCCCAGTTGTGGATGGCAATAGTGGAGCAATTCTTATTCTTACAGAACTGTGTTGGTCTCCCAGTCTCAGCAAAATAATTATTTTCTACCCCAAATAGATAAGAGGGAGAACATTGCTTTATAATTTCTAATTCATGTGATGCAACTGTAAAGAAGGATGCTGTGGCTCAGGTTCTCTTTCCCTTTGCTTGTCTCCATTGTGCTGCAGAGGGTTTCCCTCTGCAATCATTATCTACATTAATGTGCAGTGTTTCCTGCAGATATTTGAAAGACTTAGTTGAGTTTGAGGTAAAACATGAATGTGTTTAAAAATACAGTTTTACTTTAGTTGGGGATACTTTAGTATGGGAAATTATTCACCTGCAGAATATTAGTGGAGAATCACGGTCATTGTTACCTGGTGTTGATAATGGACAAGGGAATCTTTTTTTTTTTTTTAAGAAATCCTACTTAACACATAGATAAAAGCAAAAACCCAAGCAAATTAAAAACCCAAGTTAGCCAGTATGTGTTACATTTGAATTGAATATTCCCTCCTTAAATTTGCACTTGACAAAATTATCTTCTAGTTTTTGGAATGGGATGAAAAATGAACAGAGGTTTGTTACAGCATGTAGTATCACTTATTTAATGTTGCTTTCTTCAGAACATGTTTCTGGGGCAGAACCTGGGTTCTAAAACGTTGCTAGAGAAATGAAGTAGTCTGTGCTGGGAGTGCAGTTCTGTGGGTACATTAACTTGTACTCAATGTCACTGGAAACTGCTGTCATGGACCCTCCATGTGCAGTTCTAATAGACCCAATTATTTGAAAGGTTCATTATCGTTAGTTAGGATTAGCCTGGCTTGATATTTCTACATTTTGGAAAATAATTGAGAAGACTTTTTAATCAATTAAATCATTGTGTCAGCAGGAAATAAAATAAACAGTAGGGTTGTTAAATTATTTTTCCCCCAGCAATACCATAAATTTAATGAAGTTAAGATTTATAACGAAATCTGAAATTATGTTACAATATTAGATTGTAATTTGTTTTGTTTTTATTTAGGCTCTCAAGCATGTAGAAAGCCTATTGTTTTTTGGTCTAATCCTGGGGAAATACCAAGTATCCTCCCAGCAGCACTGGGAGCCTTCAGCTCTCCCAGGAGGCCCGTGTTGTTAAGGGCTCTCAAATAATCTATTGCTCAGTTCCATGGGGGAGGGTTTGATCTCTGTCCAGTTTCTTTTTTGTTTCATTTTCCTCTCTTCCTGTTATCCTCCCTTGTGTCTGGTGCTGCTTCCCAAGGGCCTTTCAGACACCTACAGTCTGTTAGCAGGTTCATTGCAGCTTGGAGCTGGCAGCTGTGATGAGTATGGTAAGGCATTTTGGGCATGTTATCTTGGAAATCTGGCTGGCTGGGTTTCTTTGCTGTTCTGACTGTTCTACTGGTGCAGCTCCTCATTTTCTCTGTCGTTACACTCTCATCTACCCATATGAAACTTTTTCCCCACTTCTAAATCCCATCACTTGGTTTTGTGCTGAATCTTCTCTGTAGACCTTCACTCTCATTTCCTTTGAAATTCTCTCTTGAGGGTCAGTACAGGGACTGCACTGCTGAAACCCTCAGGTAGCCTTGGCTTTAAGTTTGGTTTGCTCACAGTGTCCCAGAGCAAGGGCTGTGGGGTGGGTGTGTAGCTGTGCATTAGGTACACTGTGTGCCTTAGGTGATGGCTTAATGTGGCACAAGTTCACAAACATGGGTGCAGAAGCTCAAAGGGTGTGGCTGCAGGTGAATCTGCAAGTCAGCCTTGGGTAGTCTGGTGCACAAGAAATCTGATATACTACAGCAGAAGTCCTGTGCAGCTGTACCTCACTGTGCAGGGGAGGAGTAGAGGGGTTGGTGAACATTGCACAGTTTTAATATATCTTTTCTGTCAAAGGAAGTTTCCACCCTCCTCCCCCCACATTGTGCTGCTTACTGAGTACCTGGCAATTTCCAGTCCTTCCTAGGGCCTCTGGAGTTAGGACAACCCTGTGATTATGATTTTATTGGGAGAGAGGGTGTGCAGGTGGCTGAGTAGTTTGCCTGTCTTGTGTAAGGAATTTCTGAAAGAGCAAATTGCTATGTCAGCTCTTGTTGATCTATTTTTCTGCACAAAGCCCCTACCCCTGTCTTTATGTCCCAGAGACCTAGTGCCTGAGACTTTCTGTCTGCAACCTTCCTGCTTCCTGGGCTGTATAGTTGTTACTTGTTTCTGGATGATACCTTGTTTATTTGCTTGTGAGTGTTTTGGTTTTTGTTTTTTGTTTTTTTAATCCTATTGCACTGGATCACACCTCACTCCACAGCTAGTGGGAGTTGAGTTTTGACTCGCTGTGTGTAAGTGGGTTAGAATCTGGCCCTTGGCGGGGATAGAGGCTGCTTTCTACCTCAAGCCTTATAGTACCTTGTAGTGAAGCTCTATTCATGGCTCAGGGCCTGGCTTTGCTTCATAGAGTACAAATCCACACGTGTAAAACAGAGAATGTGTGAGATCTGCTGTGCCATGTTTTGAGTTATGCTTCATCTTGATC